GCCAGACAATTGTAACTCACAAAAGATTTTCATATATCCATCTTTAAAGAAAGCAGCAGAAAGAATACACTAAATCAGCATTTGATGTAAAAATATAACAACATTAAATTTTTGTTGAATAGATGAATAATTTGTCAAAGCATTTAAATAAAGATTGTGTTAATTAATAAAACCCATATTGTAGGTGTCCAGAAACCAACTTATTGAGAATGGTCAGGAAGAAAACTCACAGGAAAGGTCCTTCAAAGACTGTCTTGCCAGACTCTTCCGCTGGATAATGGGAATAAACCACTGTGAACACCTTCAATTAAGGCAATAAACGTATGTGCGCTAGAGCGCACTGGTGTTGAGGCTGATTTGCAAAACTGTGGCAAATACAGAAAAATGTATCCTTCTGTGCAGTTTTCCACTAAAGCAAACAAGACTTGGGAACTAGAGTATTATTATTTTTGTTGTTTCTATTTAGCTTTCAAATATTTTTCCACTGATTTATTTTAATTGAGAATTTAGCATTTCTCAACCAAATTGCCCTTGGCTTTTTTGTTTTTCTCTTGCTTTAATTCTGAACACTGCCCTGAGGTGAGCATTTGCATTTTCTCCTATTTTTTACAAAGAGAAGTGAGTAGCAGATTTCATCAGGTGGCAAGTCATTGATACTGTTTCATGTCATCAGTAAATGACATTTTGCTATAAAAAATATTTTCAGAGAATCAAAATATAATTTTTACACATGAGATGTAAATAAGATATTTTTATACAGAAGTTATAGCTTTGAAAAATAGAAAAATTTAAGAATTTAGTGAATTTAAAGTCTGCTTTTTGAAAACAAAGTGCTCCTTTTTCCATGGGACCCCTGCACTCAAGGATTGGAATCAGTATATTGCCTTTCTGGTTGCTGTGAACTTCAGCAAACACTTTCTAATATATATTTCAAGCAGTGCATCTTCAGCTTATGAGATTAAAACTGTTGCCATCTCCACTATAAAGCTCTTGTGTTTTTTGAATTGCCAAAGCTAGCCAGTGTTTGTGTCAATACATTTTGTGGCCACTTCCTTCTTGTACTTCTTAATCCTTTATGCCTGAGTGTTTGCCTACTCCTTGTTTTAACTATCCTTTATTAATAAGGTTTATATAACTTATTAAAAATTCAGCTAATTGAAAAGGTGTTTACCAAAACCAAGCCAGCAAATCAATTCTTACTCATAATAACCTTTCATTGGGTTTCTAAGGCTATAAATTTTTATGGAAGGACTCTGACTAATCAGTCTTCCTCCCACAGAACACTTGGTGGGTTCAAACCTCTAACCTTTCAATTAGCAATTCAACCCGTGTGGATTAAACCACTAGGGCTGCTTAAATTACCCTACGTTGTTGTTGTTGTTGTTGTTGTTGTTGTGTGTCACTGAGTTGGAACCATCGCATAGCTGACCCTCCAGCAGGTTTTCAGAAGTAAGTCATACAAGAGGCAATTGTCCATCCTTCTCCCAATAAATTATCTCATAAAGTCTGTATTACTCAGGAAGAGGTTCTGGAAGCATAAAATCAAATTCATATGTTTTATTATTACCAGTTAAAAAGTTGATGGAGAAATAAACATCACACCTTTGCCCATGGAGATTTTGTTGTCTATAAATTTCATAACACTCTTTGACATACCTTGTTTAATGTAACCATTACATTTTTAGAAATACAAAAGTCTATTGGTGTGACAAAACTCAGCATTTATTTTTTACTTTCTCTAGACTCCTTCAGGGATACCCATTGACAAGTTGGAAAATAATTGATCTTCTTTTTAAAACCCTGCTGAGATAAACAATCCGTCCTCTCATTTTGTGGATTGGTTTAATTTCCTTTTAGTGACATTAATGGCAATACAGTTCCTCTCCTGTCTGGACACTCCTTTCACATGCTCAGAGCCTATTACTCAATTTCCCTTTAATTTTCTCTGTCCTATGCACAGTCAGTTCAGCGATTGCTTTTCATCTGTTCAGGTCTCTGCTAACCACGACCACATTTTAAATTATGAACTGGGGGCAGGATCCTTCTAATTCAATCTAATAGGAAAAATTGTCCGAGGGGTTACATTGCAGTGTAAAATGTAAAGCCAAAATAGTGCTGTTCTGAAACAACTAGAGTTTTCCTCCAGAGACCTGAGATCAACAATATAGTTTGTCTGGAAACAAACTGGTACCATTGTGGATTAATTCAACAGAGATTTGGTGCATCAGAAATAATTTGAGATTTATGGGCAATGGAAGAAAGTGGCCACTCCACCTGTGAGTTTTAAGTGACAAAACTAAATTCCAGTGTTCTAATCCCTCCTTTCTAATGTGACATTATAGTCATTTTAGGGACACTCTTGATAAACAGACAATCCCTGTGTATTTTTAGCCCCTCTTTTCCCACTCAAGATGTTCAGTTTTAGACATTCGATTCTGTAATTACACTACGGTTATTATCACACATTCTTCCTCATTCTCATTCTCATTTGCATTTGTCTGCTTGGATCTTGTTCTGCTTATTTTTTGCCTTGCGTTGATTATTGATTTGCTTCCAATCACTTTTCTGTTTATGAAGATTTCGGTTTTCCACTCTCGGGCTATGTGGTGTCTCCTTCAGTTAGGATCATTTTCACCTAATTTAATAAACCTTTTTTATGCTTCATTATCTCGGTCAAGGACAAGAGCACAGATGCCTAAGATAAGCCTTTGGAGCAACATCTTTCCCTCCCTCTATTTTTTCTTTACTTTTATCTGTCTCCAATGCCACTTATTCTTTCTCTACTCTCCAGTTACTACTGACTAATTATCAGTTTATGACTTTAACACCTTTCAGGCAATTTCTGTGTGCTAAGTCCTTTCCAGATGTAAGACACTCTTGTTAGCTTAGTACTGAAATACTCTGTATGAGATTGCCTTTTCTCAGTTCATAGACTTCAAATCTCCATGGGGCCATTGGAAAGGAAACTATTTTCATAATTCTTATAAATTTTATTCAGTTATAGTGCATTATATAAACCTGTCAAATCTTTTTGTCCTGCAGTCATGCTTGCACTTAAAAAATTGCAAGAAAACTTTCAGATGAGTTACTGAATTTTCCAGTACTTTCTTCTTGCCTTTATATGGGGAATTAAAGTTTCTAGACTTTTTTCATAAGCTTAAGTGAAAGTGGGTGTGTGCCTGCTCAGTATTGGTTTATGCTAATATTGGTTTGGGTTTGTTTTGTTTGGTTGGTTGGTTTTGCTTTGGGGTTTTTTTTTTTTTTTTTGGGTTTTTTTGTTGTTGTTGTTGTTTTTGTTTGGTTTTTTTTTTAAGTTTTAAATGAATTGAACCTAACAAAACAGCAACCTAAAGATTTGTCAATAATAAATTTCTAGTTTTGGTTTGAGAAACAATTCAATTCATTGCTCTCAAGCAGGAAATGACTCATAGCTACTCTCCCATGGGTTTCTGAAGCTGTGAAGCACACAGGAGGAGATTGCCCATCCTTCTCCCGCAGAGCACCTGGTAGATTTGAGCCCTGTGCTTTTGAGTTGGCAGCACAACTCCTTATTGCTGAACCACCAGAGCTCTCTTATTGTTTATTATACCTAAACTTATGGTTTAGTGTACGTAAAAGTTATGGTTTAGTAGATATAAATTCCATAAAAATGAATTGTGTTTCTTAACATACATTTCAAGTGTGACTTAGCTAGTTAAAATGCTTCCTTTTTAGTTTCAAAAAAACCTACACTGATATGAGAGAAGTCTCATGACACACATTCATATATGAAGTTCTGTTGATGGCAGGGTTTCAGAACATAGATAGGCATAGTATGCGTCAAAGTTGATTTGACAGCATCTAGTCACAACAGTAGTACACAGAAGCAATGCAACATGTTAACAGCTAATATTACTGAAGGAAACATGTAAAGATTGCGGATGTGACAAACAATTTGTTACATATATACTTACCACAGTTAAAAAATAAGTAACTCAAAGGAAAAAAAAGAGGAGTTAGTATAAAAATTACTTTGAAGATGTCTAACATAGGTAATCTAATGATAGAACCGTTTTTGTAATGCGACTGTTTTTGGTGGGGTTATCACTAGTGTTAATGAGTCCCTGGTGGCATAGTTTATTACTTGTACTACTAATTGAAAGGATGTGGATCAAACCCACCAGCCACTTTACAGGAAAAGGATGAACTGTGTCTTCATTTAAAGATTACAGCTTCAAAAAAACCACTGGAAGGTCACTGCTAATCAATATAGACTTGACAGCATTGGGCTTTGGTGGCTTTCACTAATGTTCAATTTGATCTGTGGCATGGTTAATTGTGTTATCTGAAATTTTCACTGTAACATTTCAGCATCATAAGATAACCTACCACATGCTTAAATCTACTTAAAATTAGTTGAAATCCACTTACAAAATTCATGGGTTTTCTTTGGATGCAATTCTATTTCTTTGGGGGTTAAAAAGGAAAAAAAGGCTCTGACTTATAAGTCTGAGGTAAACAACAGAGACTGCAGAATCTGGAGTCTGAATTCATGCATCAGAAACCTAACTGTGTTGAAGTAGATTTTTGTCAACTAGCAAATGCCATTTCAGTCTGAGCATTTCACCACCTCATTCTCCACCATCTGTCTCACAGGGAGCAATTAATCTGAAATCTCAATGTGCAGCATTAAAAGTCCTTTAACAATGAACAGAATATTAACATGTCTGGCATTTCCATTGTTATCTCTCCAGATTTCAATGTTAATTTGGGATCAAGCTATAATAGCATTTAAATCTATTTGCTTAATTAAGACTCTTGCCTGACATATATCATTTTAGCAGTTGAAATTGTGGAGTAACATGTTGAATTCAGTTGAAAAATGCTGTGCAGTTTTGCAACTTAAATTTGCATAGACAATAGTTTTGCTGTAGGCTAGCAATTATCTGTAAAAGCACTAAACATTTTATGAAACCAGTTTTCCCAAGAATCTGACGGCAAATTTCTTCTCTTTTTTGCAGAACCACATCACTGCCTTCGCAGAAGTCACATGATAATGAAGCAGATGGTCTGTCCTTGCACTGGACATCATCCCTTTTCACCATCCATCCATAACACCCAAAGTTTGTTTAGTCACAAAAGAGGTTTTAAAAGTTGTCTAATAATTTTTATAATTTTAAAATCAGTGTCATCTTACCTGTTTCCCCCACTAGACTGTGAGCTCCTCGAGGGCAAGACTGTGTCTTCTTTTTCCTGTACCCCCTGCACCTACCACTATGCTTAGCATCAAGTAGGTGTACAATAAAGAGTTGATATCCAAATGAACAGATTATTTCTTAAATAAAACACTCACTTTAGCTTCTCACAGTATCCTTGCAACTATATGAAAAGAAACCTTTACACGAGTCATTTGTGTAAAGAAGTCTCTATTTGGGCCTAACTAAGGTTACTTTTTCCACTTATTTGTTTGACAGTATGTCATATTTAATGTGCAGTGGACTTTGAAAGTCATGGGGGGTTTTATTTTATCATTCAGCATGACATTATTTCCATTCTAACAGATTGCAGTGTGAATTTACTTTTAGAAAGTATGTTCTAAACTAAACCAATGTTTGCACATTATACTATCCTATATTTCACTTAAAATACCGTTCGTACTATACATTCTAAGACTGGTGCTTCTGCTTTTGAAGGGGAAAAAATGCCAATTTTTACTGTAATAAGTAATGTATCATAATTAAAAATTATTTATTTGGATTTTTTTTCCTGAAAATTGTGGTTTGATTGTAGATTTATTGTTTTTGAATGCAGACAGTAAATGAGATAGTTTAAATGAGTCATTTCAGCCATGGTGCCCATTACTGAGAAATCATCCGCTGGTAAAAGTGTCTCAGAGAAGTAAAAGGCTCTGTCCTCAGACTTCTTTACTAATCAGATTCCTATATAATCTAAGTGGGAAAGAATGGCACTCTGACACATAGTTTACATTACAGAACATGGACAACACCTTACTTTGCTTTTGTGTAGTTCTTCATAATTTACAAAGTTTATTTACAGTCATTATTTTATTCACCACCCCTGTGAATGTTAAAAATATGGCTTTGGGTTTTTAATGATGAGTAAAACAAACTCAAGACATGGTAGATAAAATGCCAGATCCCACATGGCAAGGAAGAGGAAAGGTTAAAATTTAAATTCAATTTTTCTGGGTGTTTTTTAGCTATGCCCCAGCTGGTATAGCATTTTTAATACATCTGAGAGGTCCTTTAAAATACCTTATGTTTAAAAAAAAATAAATACCAGAATAGAATTATAAACACTATATGGTATTTTGCTAATAAACAACACTTTTAAGAAATAAAAATGTAATGATATATTCATAATTCTCTTTAACAATAATGTGTAGAACTTGGAGATAGAGTTCTCTGTCAAGGTAAAGCTTTCATTAAATGACCCCCTTGCAACCTTCTTCCCAGGCCCTTAAATTCCATCTGCTGAGAAAGCCCCAAGGAGTATACCTGATGCCAAGTATGTAGAGTTTAGGATGTAAATCATTACAGGGTATGAAGGATGAATTTAACTATAAAAAAATTATTACATTAAATAGTAACTGTCATATCTACGACTACCTTGATAGCTCAGGCTTTCAGGAAAACACACTACTCTTGAATAAATGTTGACTCATAGTGATCCTCCTTTGGGTTTCTGTAAATCATTACAGGAGACTGCCTATCTTTCTCCAGAGATTCAACGGGCAGATTCAAACTACTGACCTTTAGATTAGCAACACAACACTAACACACCATGTCACCAGAGCTCCTTCAAGCTTATATGAGCAGAAGCTAATTGGCCTAAATGAATGTTTCAAAACTTGGCAAGGCTTTCTACAAATTTTCTCTGATTTTTCAACAGAATTCAGCAAATAAATACAACTAAAGATTTGTTGATTACTCAAAATAGACATACTTGCTCATTTTCAAATATTGTGGTGGTGCAAATAAATTTTCTATAACCAAAAAGAAAGAGAATACATATTTTGACCAATTTCAGGCCTCTGATGACAATTCCATTTTATTGAAGTTCAGAAGTTGACTATTTTAGAATATCTTGGCTATCTAGCAAGTCATTTTGGGGCTGTGAGTCCAAACAGTAATAGCCATGGGAAATCATTTACAGGCTATGGAGGTAAAGAAAATATGCATTCTGTCCTAAGAGGCAAGATTACCAGTAAAGCACAGGGCTAAGTCACTCTTCTCAGTTGTTACATATTTTTTTTTCTAAGGAAATGGTAGAATACATAGGGACATTATCCCTGTGGGACCTCAGTTCCACGTCAGCGGTCTTGTAGGAAAGAGTAGAGCTGACACCTAGGGCTTTGCCAAGTCATACTCTTCATAGAAGCAGCTTTTCACCTTTCTCCTGAGGAGTAGCTGATGAGTTCCAACAGCTGACCTCTCAGTCAGCAGCCAGACATTTAATCAGTGCACCACTAGGACTTCTTTCTCTGTTGGAAGCTCTACCTACATACTCATGCGTCAAGGTTGTACTTTTGTACCTTGATAATCCTGGTCTGAGTGAAAGCGATATAAATTCTAAAACCGAATTATTTATCTATTTATATTTAGCATAGGATCAGAGTAATTTCTAATATTTGAAGGGCATCCATTGCTCAAGATTATGCAGTGAATGACCTTGCCAAGAAAGGAATAGATAAAGAGATATAGCTGCACAATGCAACAAGGTCCATAAAGAGTCCTTAACCTTGATGTTGTTATTGCAAATAATGAAAGTCACATCTAAGGAATTATTAATATGTAAATATGTATACTTGTAGTCTAGTCCAAGCCGGCAAATACTTATCTTTCTGATAGAGACATCTCCTTTTTATTCTAGTTAGTTACACGGGGCCCAGGACAGTATAAATTGGTCAGCCTGAAATTTCCAGTAGTCTCTGTTTGCATGGCAGAAATTCTGCACATGTGTTATCTGAGTCTTAAGATTACATAAAAAGGCTCTTTTATGTTAAAAGAGGGGTGAATCTCCTTTGACAGACTTTGTCGATTCCACTTCTAACTGGGTCTCTCTTTTCTCAGGATCTACCCTAGCCAAATATCCGAGTTACTTTTACCATAATGTCTCCTTTGTGAAAGAGCAGTAGGGGAGAAAATAATTCTCTGCTGTGTATTGTATTTTTCAAATAAAAGTTTCGTTTAAAAAAAAAAAAAAGACCGTTTGATTTTTTTCCCCCTATCCATATATTAATCCTTTATTGAGGGCAGATGAATAAAGACTGTTTGACAGTGAACCTGGGATCAAAATTTTCAAAGATCCTGCAGAGGGTTTGGAAGTAGTTTACAAATGCTCCAACCAGTTCTATCAGTAACTAAGTGAGCCTCTGGATTTCATAGGCCAGCCCAACAGCTTACCTTATTTGCATATCATAGCATTTTGGAAATTGCATATCAGTGAACTCATAGGAGCCAGGACCAACTAATAGCTAACCCTCCTGTGGCTTTTTGGAGCCTCTGCATTGCACAGAAAGAGACTGCCCATCATTCACCCGCAGAGCTGCTATTGGGTTTGAACCACCATTTGAGAGGCACTGTCCTTGGATGAGCATTGCAACTCCCTCCAGGCTATGCCATCAGAGCTCCCTAAATCGGGACACTAGACAGGCATATTATCAACTGTCTAAATCCTCCCTGTGCTTCTATATGGGCAATTTACTTGTGAACACAGAACTGAGAGCAGTACAGATGATCATGCTCCTGCCTTTAGGGCACTATATTGTATATTTTTAACACATACAGTAAATAAAATGTTGTCCTGGTAAACACATCTGCTGTAAATGCAGTATGTTGTAAATGTAAGTGACTATTTACCCTATGCAAATATTGGTGCTTTTATAATATGCCAAGTATGCACACTTCAATCAATATTGTGAACTAATAGTATTTTTTCCAAAAAATACCTGTTGAGAAAATTTCAGATTTTAGAGGAAGGAGTTTTGTAATAGATTAGCTATATAGACAAATAATGATGATTAGGTAGGTAGATAGATAGATAGATAGATAGATAGATAGATAGATAGATAGATATAGATAGATAGAGATTTTTTTATAGATAGAGATTCTACTACCTTCACTTTAGATTATAGACTTTTAGAGCCTCTGGTTATGCCTTAGGTTTAATAAAATAATGAAGTATGTTTTCTCTACCCTGTTGTGAGCTCTAGATGGATTGTTTCTTTTTTT